GTTCCTCCTGCCTGGCCGGGGCAGGATCAGCAGTGATGGTCTTGCTGCTCCTGGTAAAAATGGTATCCAGCTGATGTTGCGGCTCACGTGGATTGGGGACGGTGGTGGCAGGTAGAGTCCCCGGGGCTTGGGTAGTGATTTGGCGAGCTATGGCACCAACTTGGTTCTGTAAATCTTGCAAAATAGCACCCTGGTTCCTCTGTCCTGCCTCTAGAGAGGCTATGCTCTGGTCCACCCTCGTGAAATTCGCCTGGCTAGTGGTCATGAATGCCTCCAAAATATTCTTCAGCTCGGTCATCTGGTTATCGGGAGCTGGGGCTCCTGCTGGCTCGGCATACTGACGCTGGGGCTGCTGGAATGGCTGCCCCTGCCTAGGCAGGTAGGGCTGGTGCTGAGGTGGTGGCCTCTGCCTAGCCTGGAAGGGCTGCCTCTGCTGAAAACCACCCGCTGGTGCTGGGAAACCAGGTGGTTTAGTGGTGTTGTTACCCCAAGCGAAGTTGGGATGCTGGCGCCACCCTTCGTTGTATGTATTGCTGTATGGGTCAAGGCGCCGAGCATTGGCGATGAAGTCCACCTGCTCTTGGGGAGTAGAAGACTCCCTCATAGCCTGACAGTCCTCCACCAGATGATTCGGGCTCTCACACCACTGACACTGAGCTACTGGAGGCGTAGCTGTACCTCGGTCCGGAATAAGACTGTTGGGCTGCTTCAATGTCTGCACCAACTCAGCCACCTGCTGCTCTAACCCGGACCTGGCCTCCATAGCGTGCACACCACGGTCCCGGGAATTTCTGCCTCTGCTGCTCTGCCCCCAAGAATGATCTCGGGCAGCCAAGGTACTGATCATTTGGTTAAGCTCGGGTGGAGTCTTAGTGAGAATATCCCCTCCTAGGCATAGAGACTCAATCACCCTCTGGCTGTCCGAGGAGAGAGCACTGTAGAAGTTCCCCACTGTGAATGCATCACTGAAGCCATGATGGGGACACTGCCAGAAATATCCCATGTACCGCTCCCATGCATCACGAAGTGACTCGTCTGGCTCTTGGCGGAAGTGAGTGATCTCCCGCTGAATCTCTGTGGTCTTCGATGCCGGATAGTACCTGTGCACGAACTTGTCTGCCAGATCGTCCCAAGAAGTGATGGACAATGGGGGCTGGGTCTCCAACCACCTCTTAGCATTCCCCGCCAGAGAATGGGGGAAGAGGTGAAGGCGGATTGCGTCATCCGGGACACCGTTCAGCTTGAACCCGTTCGTCAGCTGCAGAAAATGGGAAAGGTGCACCCTTGCCTCCTCATCCTTCAAGCCATGGAACTGGATAGAGGATGTAATGAGCTGAATTCAGCATGGCTTGATCTCGAAGTTGTTCGCTGGAATGGGCGGATAGAGGATGACCGGGCGGATGTCAGCAATCCGTGGAGTGTAGTAGTACTCCAAGGTGGGACCCTGCGGCGGTGGATGATGATGAATCCCATCTGCCTGGGGTCTGGGGTCGTTCCCCAAGAGCTGATTCACCGAAGGTGGGTTGTGGTCGCCTTCCATCTCGTACTCGTCCTCGGACTCGCTGCTCAAATGGTCGTCTATGTGCTCTACCGTAGCCAGTCTAGCTCGCTGTTGTCTCCTAAGTTGGTGGCAGGTGCGTTCAATCTTTGGATCCAACGGCAGTAAACCTCCCGACTGGCTACGGGTCATGCACTATCTGCAAGTGGGAAAGGGCAAACAATCAATGCGAAAATGAAAATGCTAAAGTAACAGAAATCACTTTTCTTCAACAACCTAGCAGTCCCCGGCAACGGCGCCAAAAACTTGACTCACTCGTACTGTCACTCTAGAAAATGGCCAAGTATAACAACTTTCTAAAGCGTAGTATAGCGGGTTTGGGTTTTAATGTCAACCCGGGTCCTAGATTTGATGACTACTCGGTGAATTCTTGTTATCTAGCAGTGAAACTTTAGTGCAAGTCCAAATTAAGAAACAAACAAAGCAAATTAAACGGTTGTTTTCAAGTCGAGAGAGGTCACCCGGATATGGTTCCCCCTAGACTGCAGTTAAGCCGGATTGCAATTTTACCAAGTTCAGTTTTCATGAAAGTTATACTGCGGAAGGTTCTTAAACAGTCTGAAGTCTCGACTAAAGGTCTTCAGACCCTCTCAATCTGAGTCTCCAGCGGGCGACTAACCTCCACCGGAGTAAACAGATTGAGGCCCTAACGAACCAAACCTCCACTACCGAATTTAATTCGGTACAGAATAGCAAATTGGCTTCTCGACTAAAGTCGCCAATTCCCTACCTTCAATTAAGGGTGCTCTATCAACCTAGGCAGATACTCTCATTCTAGGTTAAAGCAGAAACAATAGGAATTTGATCAAGATTAAAGTCATTCAATCATTCAAGCCTCAATCGAATATAATCAAATCATAAACTCTGTACTTGGGTTCATACAATCAGACCTAACATACAAATCTAGGGTTCCCCATACCCAGATGAATGGGGAAACTACTCCATGGAGAGAGAAGCAAAAGCAGATTCAGACGCGGAAATCATACTGTGAAGGATGAGTTTCTGCTCCTGGTTGTCAATCGGCACTTCTCCAAGCTCAAGTCGGGGCTCCAATGGTGATGAAGATCAAGCTATGACACTTGGAACTCTGGTTCGTCGCTTTCTCTCTCTAGGAATCGCTCTATCTCTCTAAAACTCGGAACCCTTGATTTTCAGCCTTCTTTTCCCTTAAAACTACTGCCTGTCGCGATACCCGGTCGAAATACCCGGTCGGGTATTTTGGGTCTCGACCGGGTATTATTAAAACGCGCGTTTTGCTTCAGGGAAAAATCCCCGGTCAGGTCCAATAATCCCCGACCGGGGATTTAAGCTTCACGACCGGGACCCTCTCTGTTTCTCAGACGCCCAAAACAGCAAATACCCGGTCTCCTCAAAATAATACCCGGCCGGGTATTTTCGTCCTCCAGCACACTTCAAGCCTCACTTTCTCCTTTCGACCCGAATCTCGTTCCTTCGCCTCGATTCCAACGCCGGGTCCTGAAATATGACATAAACGCACAACCTAGCGTGAAATCGGCTTAAAACACGAGAATCAACATCTCAAACGGCTCCAGAATAGGGGTAAAAACATGTATAATTATCGGTCTATCAGTCTCCCTTGAAAGGGGGATTTTCCTCTCTAACTAGGTTAAAATGGCTAATTAGATTGCCAAGCACCAACATGCACAAACCTAAGGATGCTAAGCACAATTATGCACAATTCTTAGGTTGCTAAACACCAAAATGCACAAACCTAAGGATGCTAAGCACAAAACATGCACAACCCTTAGATAGCTAAGCACAAGCATGCACAATCGACATGAATAATACCTCAATCATTGAATTAAACAATACCCAATGACAATCATTCAATCTAAACAAGTAAGTACAAAGTATTAGTTAGGGATCTACAACACCCAAGTGAAAAGAGCGAGTTTCTAGAGAGAGAGAGAGAGGGATTACAAATTTGAGCTCAAGATCTTCTTCTTCTTCTTCTAGGCTTGAATCTCCCAAGCCTCCAATGATGCTCCATGATCACTCTAGCACTCTCTCTCACTAGAACTCCCCTTCGGTGTTTTTGGACAAACTCTAGGGAGAGAAACCAATTCTTCTCCAAAAACAGCTCTCCCCTCTCTCTCCCCGCTGCTGTCTTCATATTTGCCCGAAAGTGATAAGTTCACGGACGTGTTGGCCAGTTCATGGCCGTGAACACCTAAACACGTTCGTGAACTTAGTCGTCTCCAAAACGCACCGCTTTGCTTCCTGAGTTCACGGTCAATGGCCACAGTTCATGGTCTTAGAGACCCTGAACTGCCTTGTCGTCAGTAACTTCAAGAACCTCACTGGACGCCTCGGTGTTCATGGTTTGTGGTTGAAGTTCACGATCTTAAGAGACCGTGAACTGCGGCTGTTTCCTGGGACGCCTTCACTTCGGAATTCAGACTTTTCTTTGGTTTTTACACTTTTTGACATCCAATTATCCCAAAATTCGACCTCGACCCTTTCACACGTGCTAAGACCATAAATGTATCAAAACAAGCACAACCTAGCGTGAAATATGTCGAGGAACGATGAAATACTAAGCTAAACAAAGAAGAAATGAGGGGTAAAATGTGTACATTTGGGCCCGAATCACCAATACCAGGAACAAGGTCGAGATAGCTCGAGGGAGAGGGTAGAAGGATGGGAGAAACCCAGCATGGGGACTCACAAGATCAACATGGATGCTGGTTTGACGAAGTTAATGGTATTACGTTGGGGGTGGTGATTCGTGGTCCGGATGGGACCTTCTTGTTATCGGCAGCAAAGCGTATACCAGGTTGTTTCGAGGTTGAGATGGGTGAAGCTCTGGCAGCAGAATACGAGATGCAACTGGCATGACAATTTCAGGTCACACACCCTATCTTGGAGTCGGACTGTCTACCATTGATTCAAAAGCTCGAAGTAGTGACACATATACATACAGAAGTTAGTGTGTGGACCCATGTGCGTAGGACGGCTAATGAAGCAGCTCATGTTATGGCGCACTCGAGGAATCTCTCTTCTGATGCGGTAGTCTAGTTTGACAACCCTCCTTTTATGTCTAGTTAATTAGCTCCATCTGGACAATGTAACTTTACTTTGGCTTCTGATTAATAAAAGAAAAGCAGATTATGGTAAAATTTTTTTTAAAAAAACCCGACTCAATCCATCATTTACCCTCGCTAACCGCGAGCCAACCGCGAGCTAGCCCATCACATTCCACATAATACCCGTAAGTGAGGAAAATTAATCCATCCAACTGTGGAAATTTCGTTCCCGCACTCTCCCACAAATGTACTAAATTCATCATCTCCGCGTTAACTCTAGGACTCTACCCATCCGTCCTTAACAATTAAGAAATCGTTTTTTCGGTGAACAACAATTAGGAAAAAGTTTGAAGGCAATCCCCAAATGTAAAAAAAAGTCCCCCTTACCTTCTTCATCCCACTCTCCCAACCCAAACAGTGCGGTGGACGAAGTCCCTCCTCCTCCTAAATCCGTGTCATTTGGTGCCTTTCTTGACTCCTTCCTTCCCTCTCTCTCTCTCTCTCTCTCTACTTATACATTCACAAACATAATTTCCCCCCACCTTCGAAAACGAGTCATTGTTGACTCGGCGACTCAGTTGACCATTCCTTCCTTCCTCACAGCAGCCAGCCATAGCCGTCGACTCGACCCCATAGGCCCTTCCCTTCCCTTCCCTTCTTCAAAACCCCCTCTCCCCAATTCCTCCATTTCCCCCATTCCTATCCTGAATTCCAACTTCTCAATTTCCTCCCAACAGCAACAGCAGCCGCAGCCATGAACGATCTCTTCTCCGGCTCCTTCTCCCGCTTCCGCAGCGAAGACGGCGGTGCTTCCCCCGACCACCACGTCGTCCAGATGTCCGAGATCCCCTCCACCGCCGGGGTCAACCTCGACAAATTCTTTGAAGACGTCGAGTCCATCAAGGACGAGCTCAAGGAGCTCGAGAAGCTCAACTCCAGCCTCCAGTCCTCCCACGAGCACAGCAAGACCCTACACAACGCCACCGCCGTCAAGGACCTCCGCGCTCGGATGGACGCCGACGTCGCCACCGCGCTCAAGAAGGCCAAGCTCATCAAGGTCCGATTGGAGGCCCTCGACAGATCCAACGCCGCCAACCGTAGCGTTCCCGGCTGCGGGCCCGGCTCCTCCTCCGATCGGACCCGGACTTCTGTGGTCAACGGCCTGCGCAAGAAGCTCAAGGACTCCATGGAGAGTTTCAGCTCTCTCAGGTCCAAGATTTCCTCCGAGTATCGGGAGACCGTGGAGAGGAGGTACTTCACTGTTACTGGAGAGAACCCTGACGAGAAGACGCTCGATCGTTTGATCTCTACAGGTTAGTTTCCTCTTTTTTTTCTCCTTTTTCTCCCCACTAGAAATTATGCCCACCACCTGACTGACAAAATTACTGACCGAGATCTGAAGCTCCATTTCCTTTGTGGATGTTAAAGTGAGCTGAATTTTGGACGTGGGTTAGGGTTATGATGGTTTGTGACGACAATCCTCTCTTAAAAGACGGAATCTTTTGGTGTTGATCCTTTACAGGCGAGAGCGAGACTTTTCTCCAGAAGGCGATCCAAGAGCAAGGCAGGGGAAGGATCCTGGACACGATCAATGAGATTCAGGAGAGGCACGACGCCGTCAAAGACATGGAGAAGAATCTCAAGGAGCTCCACCAAGTGTTCTTAGACATGGCGGTGCTGGTCCAAGCACAAGGAGAACAGCTGGACGACATCGAGAGCAATATGCAGAGAGCCAGCTCCTTCGTCCGTGGTGGGACTCAGCAGCTGCAGACTGCGCGAGTCCTGCAGAAGAACACCAGGAAATGGACTTGCTACGCCATCACCATCTTGCTGGTGATCATCCTCCTCGTAGTGCTGTTCGTCGTCAGGCCATGGGAAAGCAATGGTGGAGGCGGAGGCGGCGGTGGTGGAAACCAACCTGCTCCTGCTCTTACCCCACCTGCTCAGATCACGCCCCCGCCGCCCGGAGCGTAGGCTTGATGGGGACTTCCTTCTCGGTTACATGTATCATCACTTCATTTACAGTATTCATACGTGAGTAATGCCTTTTGTGCTTCTGTCTAGTTTTTGAAGATCCAAGATTTCGTTTATGTGGATCGATTAATTTATTTTTTTCTAGACCTTTGGGGAGCTGAGATATGAGAGAGGGGTAAGAGCAGCAGGCATTTTGAGATGCCATTGATAATTGAAATCTTAGTGGATATACAACTCCCCCAAATCAATCCATCTCGGATCCATAATGGTTTCTTCTTCTGCTTCTTCTTCTTCTTCCTGTAAATAGTAGCTTATGAATATGATTGTGTAGCTGGTTCTGTTGTTCTTCTGGTGTGGGATTTATTGATTGGAATGTTAGGTATTTTATCGTGCTTCCCAGATGGAAGATGAGATCTTTCAAACTTGAATTTGACGATAATGGATGATTCTGAGATCAGCCTGGACTTGGTCTCACAATGGAAACCCTGCCGGCTTGGATGGGATGGCTCTGTGTAAAATTAAAATCTATCTATATATCTGAAATGTGATTCTCTAATAAGTTGAAAAGAACAGGCGAAGGTGGCTATGCACTACTGCCATTAGCAATATAACAAAAGGGTTTATATATATTTTTATGAAATCAAAATTAACAAAATGGCTTAGGTTGGGGGTGGATATGAAGTATGAACCAGAACCATCAAAGTCTGGTCGTCTACTCACTGAATTTTCTTCTTTGGACAATTGGGACGGCTCCCCCACTTGGCATTCCTGAGCAGTTTATTCTTGTTCCAACAGATTACAGAGCGGTCGGGTTTTGGGAAAAGAATTCTCAACAGATTGCAAAATGGTCGGATTTTGGAGTGAGTTTAGGTGGGGTTGCTCACATCATGACCATATTTTCGTGGTATTAAGCAAGCTATTAATTATTTGAAGAGTAATAAAAGTGTTTAATAAACCCCTAAGCAGGGTTTTTTGTCAGAATTCACGCAGCCAAGAGGTCTCGAAGCCTCAGATTAACCTTCCTCGAACAAGCTCACAAAACAGGGTTCTTTCACAAGCTTAGGTAAGTCAGTTTGGAAGCCAATTGGATGGAAACGAAAGAGGAATCTCACATCTGGGAGATTATACGATCGCTATAGTGATGCCTTCGATGTAATTGAGTGTGTTTCTCAATCAATAGGCTAGGGATTCAGCAAGTTTTGATCGCAACCAAAACCAAATCAAACTCACAACTCTCACGTTGGGAAATTTGGAGTTTTTACTCAAATTCAACTCTGCCTGTTACAATTCGAGAATGAGGTCTTTTATAGGCTTAAACAACTACAAACAAACTAGAACAAGGAATGAAATTAACCTAACTAAACAAAGAAACTGAATTATAATTGTAATCCGAATTGAACTAGGAATCCTCATAGGACTCGGATTACTGGCAGTGCGAGGTGGCTTCTTTGAACCCTTCGATCCTCGCCTTCCCAGCCAAGTCGAGATCAACCAATGCCCGTTCTGGGTTTAGAAAGTTTCACTCTATCTTCTCCAACTTGAATCACCTCCTGGTTCTGCCCCAAACTCTGATATGAAGCGTCTAAGTCAACACCGTGTTTTGCCTTAGCCAAAAACAACCAGTTTCTCGGAATGGGTATCCTGCAACACCAAAAACACAGAGCAAATTTTGTGGCTCTTTATGGCTTAATGACCTTGCCTTTTGTTCAATCCATGGAAGCTTCAAGGGCAAGCAATTTGGGATCATATCAGGCTCCCCCTGTTAAAAAAGCTTTTCCCTCAATGCTTGGGTCTTCTTGGCTTCAAAAGAATCGCAAAATTGATCCCAAATTGGGTCCAATGTAGGCTGATCGAACACCGTTTTTTGAAATCGTGGGCACTGTTCGTCGTTGAACAAATTGGGGCTTTTGTCCTCAGGGATTTCCAGTGCAATTCGACACTTCCCAGAGTTTCGTTGGGCTTCCAATCAAAGTTCTGTACCTGCCCGAAATGTCGATTCATCGCCATCTTCCTCGAATCGACGAAGTTCCATTTCCCGCCATCGTCAGTGTTTGAAATCGGCGAACCTAGAAACTCAATTCGAAAATTGGGGACTTTTGATTCTGGGATTTTTGAACTCAATTGTTGTGTCCTACAGCTTCCCAGGATCTCCCTCGATGATTATGTATATTCAGTTTGGTCTGAATCGTCCTCAAACTCTCCAACCCATTGCCTCGATTTTAACTCGTATTTGCTCGTTTCTAGGGGCGTTTGATCTCGACTGGGATCATGCAATTCGGGTTGAATTGATGCCATTTGGTCAATGGAAAAGCTTTGTGATGGTCCAGGGAACATGTCCGCATAGCTCGTTTGGATCGACTTACTTCCCAAGGCTCCACCCAATAGACTCTCTCTCCTCCCCTGCGTCACCGTCGGCAGAGTACAGAGGCGCCGGGTTGTTGCTGTTGGTCGACAACTTTCACGTCGAAGGGCTGTGAGTGCTAACTTCTGAACGAGCAAGCTCGTTTCCTTGCCTCTCTTACTTCCAGATTCTTCCACTCAATTAGCCCGATTCGCTTCCAACTGAAGTTGATCATCACGAACCTCAGCCGATGACGGGGGATTCAACTTCAGTTTCTTCCCTCCATGTTCAAAGGTGTAGCAGTTTGATCTACCATTGTGGGTAACTCCATGATCATACTGCCAAGGTCTTCCCAACAGGATATGCGCAACGTGCATTGGAGCAATGTCACAGAGAAGCCGATCCTTGTACTGATTAATCTCGAACTCGACCCAAGCTTGCTTCATCACCTTCACAACTCCATGATCGTTGAGCCAGTGGAGACTGTACGCCTCAGGGTGCTTCACGGTACTGAGGTCGAGTTTCCTGACGGTCTCCAAGCTGACGACATTGGTGCAGCTCCCTTCGTCAATCACCATTGACGCCATTTTACCTTGAATCTGCCAGCGGGTATGGAATAGGTTGGATCACTGTTGGGTCTCACTAATTGCGTCGATCATAAGAGCCCTCCGATTGACAATAAAGCTTCCACCGGAAGCCTCCATTTCAATGGATTCATCCACCTCGTCTTTAGTGGACTCGTTTTCAGGGCGCTTGCTGTCTTCCTCATCGCTCTCACAGTAGTATTTTCCATCACGAATGACAAGAGCCTTTGGGTTCGGGCATTGGAATGACTTGTGTCCTCGACCATGGCACTTGTAACATTCCAATTTGCTAATTCCCCCTCCTGATCACCCTTGTGGGCCAATCTGGGTGGGCGGCTTTGTCGTCGTTGGTCGATTAGCAGCAATTGCTTTAGTTGATACAGTTTCAGGGAAGGGCTGCTATCGAGGCATTGCCAGCGACGGCCAGTTCCCGATTTCAGCTGCCTCTCGACTTTGATGGCGAGGTGTACTACCTCGTCCAAATCGATAAATTCGCGCAACTCTACCTCATTCCGGACTTCCCTGTTAAGTCCATGTAAAAACCGAGAGATAGTAGCTTCTGAGTCTTCGTGAATGTCGGCCCGACTCAAGAGCATTTCCAGCTCTTTGTAGTAGTCGTCGACCGACCTCGATCCCAGAAGAATTGATTACAGGGACTCGTAGATTCGGGCCCAAATGTACACATTTTACCCCTCATTTCTTATTCATTTAGCTTAGTATTTCATTGTTCCTCGACATATTTCACGCTAGGTTGTGCTTGTTTTGATACATTTCAAGTCCTAGCACGTGTTGAAGGGTCGAGGGCGAGTTTTGGGATATTTGGAGGTCAAAAAGCGCAAAAACAGAAGAAAAGTCCGAAGACCGTGACAATTGCCCCGTAGTAGTGAATTGAAGGCGTCCAAAAAACAGCCGCATTTCAGCGCCGAACGAGGCAGTTCACGATCTTCTAAGACCGTGAACTTCGACCACAAACCGTGAACACCAAGGTGTCCAACGAGTTTCTTGAAGTTACTGACGACAAGGCAGTTCACAGTCTCTAAGACCGTGAACTGGGGCCATTGAATGTGAACCCAGGACAGTGAAGCGTTGCATTTTAGACGACGCTAAGTTCATGGACGCGTTTAGGTGTTCACGGCCATGAACTGGCCAACGCGTCTGTGAATTGGTCACTTTCGGGCAAATATGAAGACAACAACGGGAAGAGAGAAAAGAGAGCTGATTTTTGGAGAAGAAACACTTTCTTTCTCTAGGGTTTCAACCTAAACACCGAAGGGAAGTTCTAGTGAGAGAGAGAGAGTGATTGCTAGAGTGATCTTGGAGCATCATTGGAGGCTTGGGTGGAAGATTCAAGCCTAGAAGAAGAAGAAGATCTTGAGCTCAAATTTGTAACCCCTCTCTCTGTCTCTAGAAACTCACTCTTTTCTCATGGGTGTTGTAGATCCCTTACTAATACTATGTAATTACTTGTTTAGATTGAATGATTGTCATTGGGTAATGTTTAATTCAAGGATTGAGGTATTATTCATGTCTATTGTGCATGCTTGTGCTTAGCAATCTAAGGGTTGTGCATGTTTTGTGCTTAGCATCCTTAGGTTTGTGCATTGTGGTGCATAGAAACCTAAGGATTGTGCATAATTGTGCTTAGCATCCTTAGGGTTGTGCATGTTGGTGCAAGCAATCTAATTAGCCACTTTAACCTAGGTTAATTTAGGGCAAACCTCAATGTTCAATTAAGCAAATTGGTTAAGCGTGATTAAGCCGTCCAACCTTGAGTTGAGTGAGGGAGTAAGTCAACTACCGATTGTCTAAATCGAGAGGGTCGAGTTACATGGCCTTTCATGCTTACCTCGGTTTAGAAATTGAGATTGTGGTCTCCGACCACATATGCATCCCTCTGCGGTATGCGGTTACCTGTGCTTACGCCGCTCAAACTTCGGTTTGAGTGAGAGACCTAGGCAACCACTAGAGCTTGAGTGAGAGGATCGATCCCGTGATAAATTGATCTCTAGCAAATCCATCTCGTGATAAATGGATCGCTAGTTGCTCCTCCTAGCGGTTCCCCTAGACTTGGAGAGAGGATCGATCCCGTGACAAATTGATCGCTAGTGAATTGATTCCGTTACAGATTGATCACTAGTTGCTCACCTCCGCGGTTCACAACCACCTATGCCACAAGACTCCATTCAATCCAACGAGTCATGGTAGCTAGTTAGGGGGAAGCAACTCCTGGGTGAAGCTCCGTTAGTTAGAGTTTTCCTTTATTTACTTTACTTTGCATGTTAGTTGTAGTTTCATTAGCTCTAACCCTAAAGTTGCTTGCTAGATAACAACCTAAGCGATTGAAGTAGGGGTACATGGACCGGCCCGGGTTGACAATTTAAATACTTGTTCTATAGTGCACCCGGCTAGAGTTTAAAAACTTGGACTCTAGTCGGGATTAATTTGTGGTGTAGTTTCATGCGAGTCAAGTTTT